ATTCAAAATGACTATAAAAGTGTTAGTAAAGCGTTATAGTCACTTTGGATGTATTGTGACCAAAGTGCACGATTTTCAAATCAGACGAAACTTTTAGCAGCATGTCACAGATTTGCAAAATCACCAAATTCACAAAATACCATTAAGTGCCATTTTATTGTAATCACAATGTTGAAAGCACGTGGCATTTTGCGATATTTACACAACTATTTCTCATTGATATGCGAGTACGGGTGGGCAAAATTCAATATTTTATTGAATTGAATATTTTTAACGAGTACCGAATAACAAATATTTTTGGAACGTCGGTTGAAACATTAAAAAATCGGCAACAAAGCCTTTTTACTGGTTAATTGGGTTGTAATCGCTAATTGTTCTTGTCACCGATCGTTTTGGCGGCGATATCCAGGTTTTGTTAATCTATTATTCCCGCCCTCTCTTTTTTTACAAATATGAATTCTTGCGGGTCGGCGGACATCGAAGTTTTATATTTCGGGGTTTACCCGTTTGTTCACATCGCAACAGCTGTTGAAGACATTGAGGACTCAAATTACCATTTTGCGTTGGCTTTAATATTACCTATCAAGATTTGTAAATTTACAGTCCCAATTTTATGCGAATGGTAATATTATTGTCGATACCGTGATGCTGATATTATTAAGACGATAATCAACTTTCTCATGTTTTTCTATGGTGATAAACTTCGCAAATCTGAAATTGTGCCAATCCTGAATGTTGATTTAAAATAGTGATTGAATAATTCGGCAATAAAGGCATTTTCTGCGTGGTCATAGGACGAGAAACGTTAATGAACAGCACTTCTTTTTACAGGATATTTTACGTATGCGACTTAATGCTAAAAAGATTGGACTCGAGTGCTTTTTTTTTCGAGTGCTCGAGTGCCTAATAGAGGTCAGGGCGCTAATTGTAACTAATTCCCTCAAGTTTCAACATGTTTCAACAAAACAATACCCCGGCGATAATTATGGCTAAAATGTTACCGAGCAATTCACAATTTTATTTATGGAATTTGAAAATTCACCAGTTTCTTGACGATATTAATAATGTCACGCTCTAATTATTAGTGCAAAAAATACTCCCCTTCTTCCGCGGCGGGTTTGACGGGTTCTTTGTTCCAATCTTCAGAAATTTCTGACACGGGGAGGGATATAGAATACTGAATCCGTAGGTGAATCCCTGTCGACTTACTGGTGATTTTTCCGTTTGGAATGCGTGGAACATTCTCTATTCTAATTAAATGACGTTTCGCGGGCTAGAGTTCTCCCCGAAAATGATGTGTACCAGACGTTAGTTAGACTTAGATAAAACATAGATTAATATATTTCATGACGCCCCGTTTCCGAAAATACAAAATTATATCGCAAAAAAATGCGTTTTGATACATTTGGAATGAAACATTATTTACGGTTAATTCAGATCATATTTTACTCTTCATGACACCCGGTATCCGAAATACAGTTGTATTGCGAAAAAATGTGTTTTGTACATTTAAATAAAACATTTTTGCGATTAATTTAGATCATATTTTATTTTTCACATTTAAATAAAACATTTTTGCGATTAATTTAGATCATTATTTTATTTTTCAGGACACCCGTTTTCGAAAATACAAGGTTATATCGCAAAATGTGTTTTGTTACATTTAAAATAAAACATTTTTGCGATTAATTTAGATCAAATTTTACCTTTCACGGCAATCCGTTTCCGAAAATACATACAAAAAGTACAAGTTTTATCACAAAAAAATGCGTTTTGTTACATTTATTTTGCATTCCAACAAAATACATATTTTCCCTAATTAAAGTCGTCGATGATCTGTTCCTGTCGTCAAGCTTGGACACACGTTTGGACGATGTGGAGCGGTTTTTGGTCGACGATAAATTAAAAGTTGCCACACGTTATTTGTATAACGATAATAACTGAAAAATTAGATTTATAATAGGAAGTGAATTTGTCTCAAGATGGTATTTTACGATTCTTGCCCACAGAAAAATAAACACGCTGACAGCTTGGTTATAATTGATATTCGTTTAATTTATTTAACACTATTAATAAACGCGCCACACCAAGTGCGGTCATATAAATTGCAGTCGCATCGGTATGGACTGTATGTTTTTGGCGCTCTCACATTAATTATAACTTTCAACAAAACAATACCCCGACGGTCATTGAAGCTGAATTCGTTACCGAGTAATTCACAATTTTATTTACGGAATTTGCAATTTCAAAATCTCACTTGACGATTTTGATGATGTCATGCCCTAATTATTACTGCTTAAATGCCTCAAAATACAACAAATGTAATCATTTTCGACGATTAACAGGCGCAACAAAACGAAATTCGCGATTGTTGCGACTCTCTCTTGTTTACAATTTTAACATCCCGCCGGCCATGTATGGTCGAATAAAATGTTCACATATTCGAAACATGACTTGGCCAAGGATTGGAAGGGATCACTAAGAGCTAATAGAAAGTACATACGCGAGGGTATGATATTAATATCGAGAATATTTGTGAGCATATCACAGGACGGAAATATTTTGCACCCGGCTGTTTGATGGCAGAACAACGATACGCTAAAGTTAATTGGTCGAATACAGGGAAGTATTTATTTATCATCTCACTTGCGAACATCGAGGTTGGCGGAATTGTACGATCATGTTGTCTTTCTTAAATAATAACTTTTTCAATAAATGTTCATTTTACTTTTGCGTCTTTATTATATGTCGGGTTTTCATTAATTTTAAATTCGAAATTGTCTGAAATACTCCAACAGGTGTATAGGTACAATAATAATAGTACTTACCAGGGAAGTTAAATACACACGATATGTTAAGGGCGTCGTAACTCCCGTTTTTTAATTTGATTGTTTTACATTCTGCTTAAAAAACAACGTGGCTTTGCAGTCATCTAACGTAACTCTCGCGACCAAATCTTTTTTGTTTTGTATGGCATCGTCTTGGCGACGAATTTATTGCCGACTGAGTTTTAATTGCGTTTTAGGATAAGTTATTTTCTGTTTGTTGGTTTCTAAACTTTACAAACGTGGGGTAGCAATTACTATTAATGTGAGATTTGTGCATATGAACGATTGAATATCGCGACTGGATGTCCGATATCTGAGAATGCGTATATCAGCGTTCATGTGGTCGAATAAAAATTATTTATCAAATGGATTGGTATTTCGAGACACTCTCAAAATTATTTGGGATCCACTATCATATCATTCGTTTATTTTTTATATTCATGTTTTTTTCAAGAATCACCCTCGTTATATTTCGTGTACCTTCGCAAAAGAAAACTCTTTGGTGTCATCGTTCCTATTAGTGTAATTGAAATGTATGGAAACCTCGCAAGTGGCGTTGTGATGCGAATATTTGATACTAGGTCAGCAGCATTACAAAGAGTGCTATTTATGAATGCTGAAAGTACATGACATTACTAAACATTTTGCCGATATATGATGTTTTCTGCCTGATTTAAACTAACTCGCACGCAAACCAAGGCATGTCGACATTTAAAAATTACTTGTCTTTGGGTAAGCTCTGAAATAGTATAATATAAATGTAAATGAGAAATTAGGTCACGCTAGCTCACGAAAGGGGAGGATTTTCAAAGTGGTCTTGTGTAATATTTCGGAGAAAAAAGTTTAAAAGGAAAGTAGGTCAACCAATCTCCTAAAACAGGGGAGTATCCTGTGTAATATTTCGGAGGGAACGTAGGTTAACCTATCTTTTAAAACAGCGGGTGGCGACTTTCAAAGTGGTTCAAAATCACAAATTAATTATTGTCAGATTAGGTTTAGGGATAAATCGAAAAGTTGAATTTCCAGCGCACCTAACCCTAATTAGTTGATTGCTATTTATATTTTGGGGGGGGGGGAATTATTTTGCACTGGATTTGTACAAATGATCCACCCTGTAACTAATATGGTCCTACGTGTATCAATCGTTGTCTGTTAGATGGAAGGAGTAACAAATGTGAAAGCCTTTGCTGTTCACGCGAGTAAGCAACTGACACCGTGATACATTGCATGAAAGTTTTGTTCCGCGGCAAGTGTTAGCAGATGTCTTTTCGTTGCCCATGAATTCGCTTGTTTTAATTAAACGTGAATTCGCTTAAAAGGGAACTCCCTTAACGGAAAGGCTTTCTCTTTAATTCATAATATTAACCGGAGGAGCGCTTTTTCGAGTATCTATGCCGTGTTAAATGGGGTAATATGAAAGGCTAGAGCACCCTAACTTGTTTAAAATCGGCAAAAGCACTTTCGCACTTTTTTTTTCGACTGCGAAGCACTTTCGCACTCATAATTCGCTTAGAGTTAACACTGCCGGCCAGACGTGGCCTGTGGGCCGTAGTTTGCGCATGTCATTTGTAGACACTGTTAGTCGAAGACTTACCTTCTCTTTTTGCTCTTTTTCAATTTCATTTCTCTTTTCCACCCATCTCTCGTACGCTTGTTTCGATTTTCTCTCAATTTCTCGTTTTTCTTGTATTTTCATTTCTTCCTTCAACATTTGTTCACGCTTCTCAATTTTCGTCTGCAACTTCATCTGAAAATAGTTAAGTTTGTTAATTTAAATATTTCTTCGTTTAATTTACTTGCTTTACTACATAGGTGAAAAAAGGGCGCTCTAGAAGTGTATGTACCGATATGGAGGTAACTAATTTTGTTCGATTACTTTATATCAAGTTGTGTAAAGGGACTGAAACCTATGGGCAGGAGGTATATTTACTTGGCTAACACAGACAGTCGTAATAGAACTAAAATATAGAAAATCGGAATCTGGTACACACACTACGGAAGTACTCTCATTTTTAGAGTCCAATGCATAAAACAGCATATTTGCAGAATCAGAAAACATAGCATGTTTGAATCCAACACTAAGTCACTAACTCCGAAGTTTCAACGTTTATAATTCACCTTCAATAACTTTTCTTCACACCACTGCTGATGTTTAATTCAGCTCTTTTCTTTAAATCTTCCTTTTCCATTCTTTCTTTCCTCTCTTTCTTTTTCTTCTTTTTCAACTTGTCTCTATAAACACAAATAATTGCATCGTTAAAGCGAAACCAGCGTTGGATACAAGGATCTACACCTTAAATTATATGTCAAGCCGGTCCAAGCACTCAAGTTATTCTTGGATGCTGCGATTGCCTAGTGCAGTGTTTCCCAACCTTTTAAAGTGCTCCTGGCCCTCTTCCGAAGGCCACCTACAACAATTTATCGTACTTTCAATAAGTAACAGTATTTTGGTTTCTAGGTGGACACAAGATTTACACTGGTATCGACATGGCCTATTTCAGTTGAATTGTTATGCAAATTAGTGCATGATCAGTTTTGTGGAAACAATACGTAGTGTCGCAAAAAACTAAATCATATTTCACCAGAAAATTTTGAAATGAGATATTTATCCAGACTCAAAATAAGTCTATCAGTAGGTGTTCTAGATCATTTTGTCAAAACAACAAACTTTCCTAGTTTTACAAAGGTGACTAACGTCTGGTCAATTACACTGTCACAACCAGCATTCATTTGAATATCAAAAGTATAACAAACTCCCTCAAACAAGAAACAACGTTAACTGAAAAACCATGGCTTGAATTGCATACATACCTGTATTTTTATGTCTTCTCTCTCCTGTTGGAACTTTTTGATCAACCAATCTTCCCAAACACTCAAATCTTTTTTGTCACCATCTTGTGGCATTTTCATTAATTCAATAGTGTTGTCATGAGAATTACGATCTAAATGATAATCAATTGAGAAATTGAATAGTATGAAATGGATTTCTATATTAGCCTGTGCCATGAAAGAGAAGTGCATTAGCAAACAAGGACCCAATTTTCATAACTCTACTCGCTACTGCGGTAGTTTCCAGCCTGTGGTACGCTGGAGCTTTTCATGTGGTACGCAAGCGACTTTGATTTATTGAAACAATTAAGATTTGAGTTGGCTAACGCTTCATACTGTATGTATTCCCTTAGCAACGCCCATAGTGCTACTGCTACCAATCCTTATCTTTGGAGATCGCCCATGTCCACTACTGCCAACGTAATACAAAACGAGACGGGTATATTTACCCGTTTATACTCCCATAGCGCATTAATTGTGCCATTGTTCTCTGCCATTTGTGGCAATTTATGGAATATTCGAATTAATTTTTTATATGATTGAATGGCAAATCACAATTTAGACCAAGGAACAGGTCATCAATTAGAAATAAGAATAAAGAAATTCAATGTAACCGTATATTAGAAGTAATAAGCATGCTTTAACAAACCCTTATTATCAATTAGTTAGCTGAGCAATAACAAATGATAACTAAATTATAGTATTAGTATGTGGAATTGTATAAATAGCAGAACGCATATATCGTTGGCAAGTTTCTCAGGCAAATAACAAAACCATCCTACCCTTCAATGGCGAAGTTCGTCGAATTCTTCGTTCCGTTTTCGGTGGAGAAGATGAGGGCCTGGCGCTGACGACGGGACAAGATTTTTGGGTTTGTCTTGTTGATATCTCGTAGTTGATGCATACTTAGGTGGTGGAATCCTACAGAACAAAGTTGTTGTCATAAGAAACAAATTAAATATAATACCCGTAATACTGGCGCACCATGCATAAAGGTAGAAGTTTCAGAATTCCATTTGAAGTAAATTTGATAATGAGCAATGAGGTAAAATGCATTTCATGTCCAACAGTAAGGCACACTTTTCCATTTCCAAGAATGTCCTGTCATTTGGTTCAATAAAACCAACACTCCATGTGTCTCACAAACAGGGGGTATATGGCACGACGACACGCGCCAAGCTTGTCTTGATAATAATCTAAATTAATCGTGACCGTCATGTGAGGAGGAATTCAATGATGACGTTTTTAGATTGCGCTTCTTTGTAGTTTTTTGCCCAACCTCATTTTACTGTAATTTTACCGGTTTACAGGTTCAAATCACTGAAAGAAAAGATGCATACTCAAGATCTCAAGAACTTCGCCGAATATTTTCAAAACACATGGTTATACAACAGTGTCTGGACTCCCAAGGATTGGTCAGTATTCGACGTAGAAATAAGAACCAACAATCATCTGGAAGGTTGGCACCGCCATTTCAACAGTATAACTCGGAAAAATATGCCTTTTTACAGTTTAATCTCAACAATGTACGAGGTAAGTATAGGGATAGAGGCGGACGTTGTAGATATTTTGGAAGAGAATGTTGTGGGGCGTGTCAACGGCAGGCATGCGGAAGCCAACGAGAGGGTGCAACATGTTTGGGAACAGTTTAAGGAAGGAGAGTTATCTGTGGACTCTCTTCCTCGGAGGTGTTCAAGGATCTACGGGCCGCAGTATTGCAAAGAGTAAGTATGTAACGCAGCAAATTTCCCATAACGCTCAGTATTCAAATAAAATTCAATTTTCGTAAGGAAAAAGAAAACAAAACCTTCCATCCATTAAATTTCCCCGTAACGTTTAGTATTTAAATATCATAATAAATTCATTAATCGTAACAAAAAGCAAACATCTTTTATCCATTCTTCGGCCCAGTTTCTTTGCCAGGCGCAGCGACAGTGCCTATCTGTTCCTGGTTTTCTTCTGCAAAAAGAATTTCCAACTCTATGACTGAAACCTTGCCGTGGTAAGTTGGCTTACAACTAATATCAGTCGGCACTAAGTAAATGCTATGCAACTATTGAGTCTGCGTTTTGCAAAGCAATGTCTTCTCCTCGAGCATCGATATCGCAGAGCGATTGCTCGACTAGTGAGGTTGCTCGGTAGTCGAGTTGTCTTTACCTCGAGCATCTATATCGCAGAGCGATTGCTCGACTAGTGAGTTGTCTGACTCTCGTTGCTCGGTAGTCGAGTTGTCTTTACCTCGAGCATCGATGACGTCACGTCGCAGAGCGTTTGCTCGACTGGTGAGTTGACGGGCGACTGCCGTAGGCGAGTTTAGACTACTGCAACCATAGACTACTAAGCTCACATTCATAAATATTTAAGTGTTACTGTGAAGTATAAAGGTTTTAATATATTTAAATGTGCTCATTCAAAACATTTAATACCAATGAAGTTCATAAAATTAAACGAACACAGTCCTATAAGTCAACAGTCTAACTTCGCTAACGTTACTTCAATTTCGTCTGTAGACTGTATTTGTATTCACACAACATGATTAAAATAAGCCACTTATACAAATAAAAATGCTTTCTAGAGAATATTTATCTATTTTTCTCAACATTTGAGCACTAAAAACATCAAAAACGCATTTCTATAAACCTAAAACACCACCGTAGAAAATGCGAAAAGACGGACAACTCACCAGGTCTCCAGGTAGTCGAGTTGTCTCTGGTGAGTTGTCCGTGTAGTCGAGTTGTCCCTCAGCCGTTGAGCCACACCGCCGCGTATGGGGATTTGCAGATTTGTCGGTACCGGTATGTACCCATTATAAAAAATGTGAATCTACAGAACAGAATCGAGAAATATAACTCACTTCGAAGATGCTGTGAATGATGATGACTTGAATGAGTTGGAAGGTGATTTAAAACTTACTGACGATCGAAATTGTGGACTAGATTCGTTGTCAGAACTTTCAAATGAGTCGGAGTACGCACCTTCTCCCCTACGTACTGGAGACAGAAGATCATATGTATCATCTAAATCCTCACGATTCATACTTCAACTATAAATTCCAACTTTTCATCCGTAGACTGCATTCAAAAAATATTCTGAAGCCGCAACCAGGAAGCGAATTGATTCTTTAAAACGAAAAGTAAATATTATGATGCGCTTCATGAATTGGCTGTAGCGACAATAAATATCCATGGCGGTTGGTCGACTCGGGAAGATAAACTCGGTGGTCGCCACGGAAAAATCATAAATCATAGAAAAATCAACTGAAAAATTTATAGCAACTAATAATGGTGAAATGGACTTATCCAGCCAATGATGTATTACTTGATACTCGTACCGGTAATTGTTTATTTTAGGGCCGGGTGGTTTTTTGAACCTACCAGAACCATTATATTGAGCTTATCGGATTTCCTCTCCCCCGAGATAAATATGAAAATTACATATACGGGGTGAATACGGAAATTCTCCTCGTCATACAGCCACATCAACTGATATTGTTTTAACAACACTTGTGAATTGTTGACCAATTTATTCAAATTACGTCGCAGTATAGTACACTGACATTTAACATTTTACACTCCCAGCGTCCTAATGTCATTGGTGCGTCAAAATCGGATGCGATTACCGAAGCCAGTTTGGAAGGGGCATTGTGATTGTAGTGGTAGAGAAATGTTTGTCGTGACACATCAATTCTCTGATTTGCCGCAGAAGTTTTTAAATTAAAGGCAATTCAGTCTGATTTCAGTTCAGTTATTTTTGTGCAACATTCAACTAGCTCACTGCCGGGCAATGAACAATTGTCAAACACCCAATTTAACGACGAATGAGAATCGCTTAATGAATATACGTAAGCACTGTCGCAGGTAAAAGATATCGGGTCTGAAAAACCTCATGCTCGCCACACACGTAGAATGAAAAATTGATTGGTAAAATGGAAAGATTTCGTCTTTTCACAAATAACTAACGAACATAAATATTGAATTTTTTTCCTATTTTCACGTGTTTTGTTTATGTACGTATAGCAAGTACTTCGTATAAATAAACTATGGTTATCTCGACTGACTATACTTTTTTGTTTCGTGACAATGGACTCGGCCTTTGAAACTTTATTCAGCCGACGATATAGCCTACATAGTAGGCCCACATACATTTTCGCCATAGAGGTGTTCCAAAATCGATATTATTAATTTATGAAAATGCTCGGATTATCATGGAATCTCTTTTGAGGAGCGTTCAATTGTATCTCAAACAGCTCAATATAGATAGCGAATATTGATCAAATTAGGGATTCTTTATAGATTTGATTTTTACATTAAGCCAATTCCATTATAGATGGCTGTCGTACTGCTTTAACGTTATTTTTGTGATAGAAGTCGCGAGTAGCTCTGAGATGTCTTTGAGCAGAGACACCTACAATGCTGGTACAGTGTAAAGCAGGATTGGGCAAGGTTTATGGATCAGGAGCCAAAAGTTTTGCTCACCTAGACTGGCGGGCCATGTAAGTGTGACGTAAAAGTTACATTTTATGAACAATATTCACAGTTCTATTTAATGCAAGAGTCTTGCCGCACACTTACAGAAATATATTTCTTCAACGTTTCGTCTGACCAACGACTAAAGTCTGACCAAGGTCAGACTTCCTCAGACCAGCATAGTTGTAAAATGATTGCCTGATGAAGTCTGACTTTGGTCAGACGAAACGATACAGAAATATATTTGTGTAAGTGTGCAGCAAGACTTTTGATTGAAATGGAATAGTCATTTTCACTCTTGCTATAGCATTCTTAGTAGTTAGTTTCACGTAACCCCAGTTTTGATTGTTGCTTAAACGTTAGACGGCCACAGCAAATGACACAGTAGCTGTTGATTAGCGTTATATTTGGCGTTGCAAAAGTTACGTGTTATATTTATGTAAAGAGCATCATGTTTATGTAGCTTACGTAGTGACATACATATGCATGTTTTGTAATACGGGAACTCATTGTTAGTGAGTTGGATACAAAAAAAAACTTTAACCACTGTATATAGAGAAACGTAGCACATTAAGTAATCTAAGCTGAGTGACTCCATTATGTATGAAGAAAACCAGAAGCAGCATATTTGGCGATGCGAAAGTTATATATTACGTTTATGTAAAGCGTATAATGTTAATATTATTTACGTTGTAACATACGTATATTTTGAATGAGGAAACTTCTTGTTCGATACAAATAAAATATATTTTTAAAATTTTCAATTCCGTCACCGGTTAGAACTATTGACTATAAGTACGTAGTAATTGTTTATATTTAAAATCGAACTAGTAATCATATCCAGCAAGAACATAATTATAAATCTGTTTTGTGTTTGAACTGGTTCATGGGCTTTGTTGATTGCAGTATTGGTTCTGCTTAGTTACTGAAAAGTTTTACTCCAGTTGAAACGCGCTGAACATAAAGTGGATTTAATTTCAGAGGAAGTAAATTTGACGCAACTTCCTAGGGTTATGACTGTATAGGATTTCAAATTTGGCCAGTTTTTATATATTCCCCGTTTAAATAATGACAAGGCGAGGTTACTGAGAGGATATCGCGCCAGTTTAAGAGTGTGATATTGAATACATGTTTCCAAAGTTTTGCCGTATGTGCAGTAATTTACCGTCTGGAAATAAGGTGCCTTAATTAGGTATCGTACGTACACTATACGTAATCTGTAAATCTCGCAGAAGTTCCATATGCATTCTGCTTTTTTCTTCATCCTAATGAATTGAAAATATAAAATTGTATTACTGTTATGCCTATAATTCATATCTCAATCTATGGTTTTCTTCACACAACACATTATTGTCACTCATAGAACCTTCAATTTCCCTGTGATCTTATCCCTCATATTTATCAATGTGTAAGCACAAAAGAAGATTCAGAACAGATTTGAAAGTGTAAATTAATATAATAAATAATAATAAATTTGGTATGGAATTCTTATTTTTTGCTCTTCTCTATTTGAAATTTATTTAAATAACTTCCTAATCCCGATTAGAAATTTTTCTCATCTCTAATTAGATATCATTTTTTTTACATAGTGTATATAGTTTTTTTTTCCATATGTATATCCTGAGAGTGTAATATTACAGAACCTGTGTTATTAATTTATTTATTCATGTGCTTGCTTTGGGTGGTAACCGACTCAGATGACTGTTAATGGTCGTATCGTTACCACCCTGTCATCTACCGAAACCTAGTTTTTCTCATTTTGCTATCATATATATATTGTATGTGTTTTCTGGTTTGACGAAACAATAAAAAAAAAATTCTCTCTCTCTCAATACGCATATAGAGCGATTTTCAAGGCAACCTTGGTGACCGTAGTTTCTTGACTATGACTTTGTGTAGTTCAGAATCATAGAATCATAGTTCCGCGTATAATGGGGATTTACCGTGTATGAAAAATTCGCCGTAGGAGATCTCATCGCGGAAAATATCGCCACATAGGAAATATTGCAAGAGCATTTTGCTGTAAAACAAGTACTTGTGAATAAAACGGTTATGTTTATAGGGTTATGGTATGCTCTTAAATAACGAATCTTTTTTGAATGAGACGATTTTTCATACATTTTCATTTTTTTTCATGCGCGAAATTTCCTAGAACCGGAATTTACTAATTTATTTGCGATATCCGATACATAAAAATTCTTCATGGTCATCCTGGCAAGATGGTATCAAACTGTCGAAACAGATTCAAAATTAGGCTAGTCCCGAAATATGTGAACCAAGATGGCAGACACCAGAAGTCCAGAACATAGTATGTGTACCAATTTAGGGTTAGGCCATAATTTTAGATACAAATACTACGAAAGTCACTTGGCTAGTCCCCGAACTCGTAATAGAACTAAAATAAGGAAAATTGGAATAAAATTATGGCCTAACCCCAATCTGGTACACATATTGCGTTCCGGTGTCCTCCATCTTGGTTCACATACATCGGGAGTACCAAAATTGGATATTGATAAAACATAACGATCGACCAGCCAACAGTTCTGTAGAGTCTCATCCGATTTGTTGAGGGTTTTTACACCCCTTGAAACACCACTTGAACGTGAGAACTTACGTTCGAGAGAACATGGGTAGAATTCTTGTGTGGATTATCGGGAAAATTATGAAGCCCGCACTTCAGCAATTTTCAGTGACTGAGAGGGATATAAATTCAGTGATCCTGTCAGTAATGTTTAATTTAAAGTATAGTCCATTTAAACGGGCGTCGTTGAAATCACGAGTGAGATATATATTGTAAGTACAGTAAGTGTAGCTGTTTTCTAGCATTAATACATTGTCGGGACGACCACAGTGGTCATACATGCATATATATATATATATAAAGCTTTCGTAGAAAGTCCCCGCTACGAAATTAATAATTATCCCCTTTAGAGTTAGGAATGCAGATTGCGCTTAGAGTTCTAATTTTCAAATCATATCTAACCCTAACTAGACAATAACTATTTTACAACGTGGAGGGGTTGTTTTTTCAAATATCACATTTTTGAGTCAGTGGCTGAGGCATTGTACAAAAGATCCCTTGTTTTCAATTCAATTTTTCTGTGATTAAATATATAAATTGAATGATATTACGTTAATTTTTGTCAGTAATGTTTGTAGTATAGTTCATGTCAACGTGTGTCGCGGTAATAACGAGTTAGATATATATTATTAGTACAGCGAAAATAGGGTAACTTCGTTTTCTAGCACTGATACATTTTCGGAAGACCGCAGTGGTCATATGTTGGAGATTTTATAGAAATATCCCGCTAAAAACTCACCCTCGCTAGAGCTCAGACTAAAAAATAGTAATTATTCAGTTATAGTTAGGCTTACTGATCGCGCATGAAGTTCTAATTTTCAAATCTTTTCTAACACTAACAAGATAATTTCTTAATCCAGCTCTGTTCTCAACATCCAGCCCTTTTACTGCCAGGCCCGGGAATTTTCGAATACATGATGATTTCAGAATTAAATCGAATATTTTTTTTTTGAATCAATGTACCGATGTACCCATGTACCGCAATAACATTTGTATTGGCAATTCTATTGTGGTGTCAATTTAGTAATTTGTCGGTCAGAAATGTTAAGTGTTTGCCTGAGGGTGGAAGCAT